TTTCTGAGGTATGCCAAACCCAATGCAAAAGCCAGCTGTCTGGGCCTACCAGACCTATCCCCACAGAATTAAACACTTTACAACTGTTTAATTCTGTGTGGTTAGGGAAGGTTAGGGTTAAGGGTCAACTACTTTTTTTTGGTGGGAGGAAGGCGGGAATATCACCAAGATCTCAGTTTAAATTTCCCTTGGACTAGTTGAGAATCACGGGCTGTGTTCTCAGCTATGGCATTTATAAGGGAGAAGAAACTGGAACAAAAAATTACAGTTTAGCCAAACTTGTAAAAATGGTGTCGCTTACATGTACACCATACTTGTTACATCCACTTTTCTCTGTAATATGTCACTGTGAATTATTTCAGAATGGCCTGAAACATTCCTGACGGGACAAGTTGTCACAACCAATGTTACACAAAACAACGGAGTTTATCCATAAGAGCCCTTTCATCTGACAAAGCTGTCCAGATGTCGCAAAACGTTCCTCAACTTTGTGGAATTATCAATTTGCAACTTTAATTACACACAAAGGGTACATGTACATAACTAAACTACATGTCCACGTAATAATAATTAATAATTTATTCATTTATAAAGCACAAATTTCATATAGATATGTTCAAATGCGCTGTACAATGAAGAAATTTTAAACATGGTTGAGCCGATGGCATACAAGGGTGCCTCGGGCAGCCGCCAAACAACCCACATTCACCAACATCAGTAAAGGGGAGACAGTAAGAAGCAGTTACAGTGTTAGAGGTGGGGGGAAAACCCCAGAGGAGTATTCTCGATAAAACCCACAGGGTCAGGTAGGGACTGAAAATCCGATCCACATGTGGACCGGGCCGGGAATCGAACCCGGGACCACAGAGGTGGAAGGCGAGGAAAGAACTACTTTGCCAACCCAACTCCCTAACACGTAACCATTCAAGGTCCTGTTATTAACATTCAAAAACCAAGTGCCGGTATGCACAAACTAAGATAATGTCTACTCGTTTAAGTAACTATAAAGCCCTTGACAAAATTGTCAAATCTCAATCCTATTTGCCTGACAATGTACAGAATTTCATTTTTGCAACCAAATTCTACAATTTTTCGTTGTCTTTCCTGATTGAGCAAAAAATCCCCTCCAAAAATCTCAAATGTCTTCATGGAATAAAGTTGACAGTGTCTCTTTGATGGTGATAATGAACATCCACAAACTCCAAAATAGCCATATGATAAATAGCGCGCATAATACCCAAAATCTGGATGGAAAGTGAATTCCTGGTGCTTAAAAATGAAGTTACATGTACTTGAGATTGATTACAGAAACCATTTCCTGCCTTTTCTAGATGTTCTAGAAGTGCTGGGTTGGCTGAGAAGCCTTGATGAGAACAAAAAACCCTCTTGAACAAACTGCATCAGCCCATCCTACAAAGAGAGTCATCATAGCACAGTTTTCACCACGCCCACCGTTGGGCTGCTGTGGATCTGAAATCTAGTTCAGGTAGAGAGATTCCATTCCAGTCATCCAGTCATCTTCCCTGTCCAGGTGATTGCAATTGATCCAGACTCCATACCTCTCCTCTTCTTGCACGATTGTGATGACAAAGTCATCTTCTTCCTTGGACCTTGAGGTGGCCAGAGAGCCTCCTATCTCATAGCAGGCATCTCTGGCATCAAACCAGTTGAAGCGACCCTCGGACACCAAGTAGCATGCTCACCTCCACCATCTCCAACCGGGGCAAGATGCAGATCTACCAGTTTTGCTCACAGCAGGGACACTGCAAGACTCACTGGTAACCAAAGCCATCTTGCAAAGCAAAGCACCAACCAAGAACACTGTTGGGAACATAGTTCATGAATAAATGGGTTCACAAAAGAATTTACTAAAAGTACAGTAGATCAGCATAAATTCATCTCAGAAGGATCGCAAATCCGTTTTTGGCACCAATTGAGGACTCATCTGAACTTGTCAGAAGAAAATGAACCAAGCAATGAAACACAGGAATGAAAGAAGTACGGAGTAACAACCAGTGATGTCTAGATCCTTTCTTTTCAGCCCCTCTCAACAATACAGAGATGGACAGCATCAATATAAGCCATCCTTAATAATGGGGAAGAAATGACCCAGATAAATTAATACTGTG